AAAGAGAAAAAGAAAAAAAAATGAGTTGGCACAATTTTTTGTGTATCCGGTTCTCGCAGAGCAGCTCACATAACCGTCTCTGAGAGGGAAGCTCGCCATGTGTCAGCATTTGATTCGTCAACTTTTTCTTTTGATTTATTTATTTATTTTTTATGACAAAAATAATTTTTTTTTAAAACAAAATATTAATAAAAAAATGTTTCAGAGCTTTACCTTAGGCTTAGCGATGCACATACTCTTAGTGTAAGCTAAGTTTATGGCAGAATGGAAATCCTTAAAGTATAGCATTACTAAACTTCTAAGCTAAGATAATAGTATAACGAAATTTGGAAGAATTAATTCACTAAACACTATTTGTGAAGTGCCATTTGAAGAAAGCCATATATGTTAGTTCTAGAATGAGCCCCACTCAAAAAAATTCATAGCATGAAGAGATTTGTTTGCATGTAATGCAAGAAATAAAATAACATGTAAACTACTACTTTCCAAGAGGAAATTATGAATGAAATAGATGTTGAAAAGTCTTTCAGTGTATTAAAGAAACTTGGTTTTATATGTATTTTACCCTACTTAGAACTCATATTAAACCTCATTGAAGGTTTTAGGTTAATGTACATACCATAACAAAGGGGTTCAATATAATGTTTTTGGTAGGAGGTAGTACACATGAAATCAAGAAACTGTAAGAATAATTTAAGTGCCTCATATATCACGTTTTGCAAACATTGTGTAACTTACTTAAAGAAAATCGAGAGAACTGGAGATCCACTGAATAATAATGATCAAAGAGATAGAGAGAGATTTATCGTAAGATGGATATAGAAAATCATGAGAGTAATGCATAGTTTCAAAGAAAATGAAATATATTTCTGAGAAGGAGGAAAAACACTAGAACTGAAAAGGAGAGAGAAAAATAATACGAGTCGAATAAAGAGAGAGACAACGCAAAAGAAAAAGAAAGATGAGTGGAAAGAAAAATGTAATGAAAAAGGAGAGGGGCTGTAGAAGAAAAAGAATAAGACAAAGACGAACACAATAAACAATAAAAAGAAGAAGCCAAAGATGATGAGTTTTCATAACGTGATTTTTTCAAGAATAGAAATCTAGAGAGAGGGAGACCTATTGAGAATAGTGATACTTACTGAGAAAGATATTATGATTGAGAATACCAATGATCATAGCGAGAGACATTAGCAATTCCATGGTTATCTATATGTAGCACCTTTCTCTTATAATACTATTCTAGCAACAATTAGTGATTGTATTTCTTATTTTGATGTATAGGTTGTAGAACAAACAAACATGGTGTATTACGTTTGATTATGACAGTTTGACATGTTATGGTGCTTTGAGATATGTTAATTGTGATTTGGTGTTTGTTGCTCAATGAGCCTTATTGGAGAGACAAACATATATGGACTGTACACAAATATATTCGTTTAGACATAGTCATAATAAATTGGTTGTCTAGACAAATTTCTCTTCATCTCGGATCCTATAATTCACCTTATTTGAACCTCTTTGCTATGTTTTGTTTTTACACAATCTTAAATCTCATTAATCGCAAGACTCTTTTTCTCTATGATCCTTAAATAACCTAATTGCATATTACAATAAGAATTTAATGCAATACCAAAAGGTGGTTCTCTTGGGCTGTGATTCTTTTGGATAAAGTTGGTGATCAAGCTGGATCAGAGGAGGTTCTTTCAACAAAGGCAAGTTGGAGAGTATAATAAGGTTGTATTAGACTGTACAAGGTATGTGTTTGTTGGTTGATCAATGCACATAAGTGAAAGGCATGTTAGTCTTTGGATGTATCATAGTCTTCTTCATAAACGAACACCCTAAGTATGGGTTGTGTATGTATTCACTTTAGATATGGGGTTCTTGGTGGAATCAATACTGGTAATATTTTAAGGTATTTGATTGTTTATAGTCAAGAGTCCTAAATTGAATCAATAGTGAAATATTTTACCAGGTAGACGAAGAACAACATGAAGAAGAAGCAAAGTATAACGCCCCGAAAAGCTGGATTTAGATAGCAAAACATATATAATGAAGAAGAAGAATATAAGAGCTGAGAATAAGAAGGAAAATTGAAAGAAGAACATCAGAGGATAAAGAAGATGAAAGAAGTACAACTGAAAAAAAAATGTATGAGAAGATGAAGCAGAAGAAATATGAGAAGATGAGAAAAGATAAATAAAATAAAATAAGAGAAAGACAAAACTGATAAATAAGATAAATAAAATGAGAAGATGAAGAAGAAGAAATATGAGAAGATGAGAAAAGATAAATAAAATAAAATAAAGAGAAAGACAAAACTGATAAATAAGATGTCGCAAAAAAAGAAGAAGATTGATGATACAAAATGATGAAGAATACAAGAAGAAATAAGAAGAAAAATCTGAATAAAAATAAGGAAAAAATGAAAGTTAGAAGATGAAGATGGAAAAAACAAAACAAACAAAATAAAAGAAGGAAAAAGTTGAAGAATATGTGAAGAATAAAGACGTTGGAAAAAAAAAAAAAGAATACAAAGCCAATTCAAAAAAATTGTAAATAAAAGAAAGAAAACGAATAAAAACCAGGAAATAAAAAGATGACGATGAAGAGAGAGGAAAAGAAATAGAGAATAAAAAATTTGATAAGAATAAGAAAAAATGGTAGAAAATGAAGGAAAAAAAATACTAAAAAAAGTAAGAGATAAAGTAAAAGAAGAAGAAGATAAAATGGGTTGAGGTTTACGATGTACAGTTTATATTAATGGGTGTAAAATTTAGTTAATGGTGCATTTTAAAAAAAATGAATACACTACATTACCAATAAAAACTAAAGAAAACAAAAATAAAAGCAAATTCATAATCAATTTGTAAAATGTGGGGTTCTGGTGTGGCGTATGGTGTGCGGTTCCGGGTGGTGGGAGAGGGGGTGTTATAATGTGGGGTTTGGGTTTATGTTTAGGGGGTGGTGTTACACTGTAGGGTTTGGGTTTAGGGTGTAGGGTTGTTTAGGGGAGGGGGGTGTCACATTGTGGGGTTTGGGTTTAGGGTACAGGGTTTATATTGATGGTTGTAGGGTTTAGTTTTTAGTGCGTTTTAAAAAATTTTGAATTATTAAAAAATATTGATTATAAATTTATATCTACATTTCTAAATTACATTCACAAATAGAAAAAAAAGTAAAATAATTAAAGCAAATACAGAATTGAAAGATAACAAAACCAATAGGTTTTTAAAAGATCTCGACTATATAAAGTATTAAAAGTAAAAAATATTTTACAAATCCTTGAAAATCTAAACTATCGAATGAATTGATAGATGAAATATAAGACATAGACAAGAATGAATTAAAACACAAATAAAAGAAAAGAAGACAGTGAAAAAGAAGATGGTAAATTTGGAGAAGAAGAAGAAAACTCGAACATGAGGAAACATAAATCAAAGAAGAAAACTGAAATGTGAGGAGAAAAAAAATTAAGGAGAGATAAATAAAAATTAGAATAATATGACGTCAGAGAAGACAAAGAATTTAAAGATAGAGATAGGGGGAATGAGGAAGAAGAAAAACCGGAAAAAGAATGTAAAGAAATTTAGAAAGAAAAAGAAGAATAGAGTTGGAGAATATGAAAACACAAGAAAAGATTGAAGAAAAAAAATTAGAAGAAGAAGAAGAAAAAGATGATGAGAACGAATATAAAATTGAAAGAAAAAAAAAGATGAAATAATTGGAGAAGAAAACAAGAAGTGGGGAATCTTTTGTATATCCAGAAGAAAAACTGGAAAAAGAATGTAAAGAAATTTAGAAAGAAAAAGAAAAATAGAGTTGGAGAATATGAAAACACAAGAAAAGATTGAAGAACAAAAATTGGAAGAAGAAGAAAAAAAAGATGATGAGAACGAAAATAAAATTGAAAGAAAAAAAAAATATGGAATAATTGGAGAAGAAAACAAGAAGTGGGGAATTTTTTGTATATCTTAAAGCGAATGAAGAAGATTATGTACAAAAATGAGAAAGAGAAAACAAAAACAAGACACATTAATCAAGATTACAAAAAAGAAATCGACAAAAACAATGAATGCAATAAAAAATTCTACTACTTATATTATTAAAATCTTTAATTAATTAATGTGTTCAAAAAATATTGTACCCGCACAAGATGCGGGACAACCACCTAGTCTTCACTTATAAGCAGTCTCATTATTTTGTAGTCTTAAACCGTATGTAAAACAAACAAAGTGTCATTCGCTGAACAATCCTAGGTCTGAATCCCCCGGTCTATACATATTACTGTCTCAATGAAATATTCGCAGCGAAAATGATCCCAGGTTCTGTTGTTTAAGAGTTGAGAGTTTGCACTAGATGTACAAAACACTAGAGCTTGCAGAAGAAAAATGTGATATTGATAAGATATGATATGATGATGCTCAAAAAAAAAAAAAAAGAAAGATGAGATATGATATGATATTATATTATATTGACTCTTGGTTTGTAGAGTTAGAATCATAGGAAAACATTTTTAGTCAGATATTTTATTGATTTGGTTTACCAAGGATATACATGTATTATGGAAGCGATCGCCGGGTTTAAATGGTACTGTTTTGAATATGTGAAAACTCGAAATTGATTTTTTGAGGTGTGACAAGATAACAATAGTTAAAAAAAAAAACATAAGCCTTAAACTATAACATAAACATTAGTTTACTGTGCAACAAACATCCTAAATTCAATGCTTGCGATTTAGACCAATCCTCTCAATGCACTGTAACTAAAAAAAGTCTCAAAATTCAACTCGATTCTCTCAGAACTATTTCATCAGTTCTCGAGAGTGACAAAATGTTACAAAGCAATTACATCTCCAAGTTGTCCCCAGCTTACAAAATGTTTCCACAATCTAAGTTAAAAGGAAGTCAAAATTGTAATTACATCACAGCTCTTTTCTTGTTTGTAAAGAATCTAAGAGAGAAAGCCAAAACATCACACCTTGAAGAAGAATTCAACTAAACCACCTTAGCAACTTTTCTTTGCTCGGTTTGGCCTGACAAGGGACACTGCATCTCAGTCCAACTTATCGGAACCATTGTCTCACCTGCACAATCACCACAACAAACAGCAACACCATTTCACTCCATAATCCCAAGAACAACTATGTAAACAAAAAAGAATGAAAATGTAACTCTATAATTTACCTGCAGCACTTTCTGCTGAGACCACACCAAGCTCATTCTTAGCAGTTGACAAATAGTAAGCCCTTGAATCACCAAGAGACAGCTTCAAGAGTCAAAAGTTAAGGCAAATTCTATACAAGACCATAACTTAGTCTAAATTCAAATCAAAACTATAGTGGATGGCATAATGTAACAAAACTTTGAAATATTTTCCATCTACAAGCAAATGTTAAGCACTACCATAGCTCCTAAACCAAGATACTAATAGACCTCCTAAACCAAGATACTAATAGACAATCAATAAGGATACAACCATAGCTCTAACAATGTCACCGGCACGAAAGGACAGATGCATATCAACTTTGTCAATCTCTGTTGCTCTAACATCTTGTTGCCTGCGTAAAAAAGAAGCAAACACAAGTTAGATTGACACAGTAACAACACTAAACAAAGTAAACACAAGTTATTTCCATGTGTTTGTTGCAGTTACAAGCAAACGAAATCAAATCACCTGATGATGCCAGCAAACTTTTCACCAACGGCCTTTGAACCAACACACAAGATATCAACAGAAGCCATCTTAGCCACAACTTTAGTCACCTATTAAGAGTTTAACAGAGGCATAAAAGGATCAAACTTTGCAAGTTATTAGCATCAAAATCTAATGATATCAATCACTCACTCTTGCTATGACAACAGAGCCAGGTTCTGGAATAAGTCCATGTGCTTTGTGACCTATAACTTCTACAATGGCTCTCTGCATATAATCATCACACAACGGAGCATTAAAAACGTATTCAGAAAAAGCTTAGCTCCACAATCAATGAAACAAGAATCACCTGGTCAAGGGATTCAGGAAGAGGAGAAACAATTTGGAAGGATCCTATGAGGGAAGCGTAGATGGTATTGTCGTTGATGTAAGCTCCTTTGCCGGCTTTAAACTGAGTCGCATTGCCGAGTTTATCTCCCGGTGTTACTAGCTTCGTCATTCTTGAAGAATCTTGTGCACGCAATGTTCGGTTCTTGAAATTGTTTAAAGAGATTGTTGCTGAGACTGTTCAAGGATGATAAACAACAGATTCACAAGACTATTAGCAAGCAAAGTTTAAAGCTTTATCGAATTAAAAATACTGACTTTAAGTAAGGTTAAAGCTTTATACAGCAAAATGTTGAGCAAAAAGCCCAAAATAGAGTCATTGAGGAAATCAATATTTTGCAATAAATCGAATTTCTAACAAATTCCAAAAGCTATTAGCAAGCAAAGTTTAAAGCTTTCATGGAATTTAACGCAGAAGTTTCATTATCTTCAAAATCAAAGTTAAGCAGATCACTGAAACTACTATGATACTATCTTTCTCCAAATCAATTGAGTGAGCAATTAGATTAAGAAAAACATCGATTATCCTCCAGAAAACAAACCCAGTTACGAGAAATTTGCAAAATTACATAGAAAAGAGAGGAAAAATCTTTGAATACCAGTTGATAACGATGAAGAATCGTAGAATGTGACAAAAGGTTACGGCTTTTTCAGAGTGAATTGTGTTCAAGTCAAGAGGCAAGACAAATTTGGTTTTTTTGAAATCCCTATTTTGGACGGTCTGGATTGATTGATCAGGACTGATTTTAGATATTACTAAAACAAATGGGTCCAAAGTCTTTTCAGGCTAGCCCAATAAGTAACTGTATAGAAAGTTAGAAACTGATTAAAAAGGTAAAATATATAATTGTTTTGTTTTGTAATATAAAATACAAAAACTTTATTAAAATCTAATTTATTATTTACGAAGTCAGAATTCCGTTTCAGTCATGTTTGCTCTCAAAACCTAGGAGGATTACCTTTATATATTTGAAATCTTGTTAATATTTGTTTTTAAATTGTGCCGATTTTCTTCTACATATAGATAAGGGTTATGTGCAAAAAAAACCTCAAACTATATTTGTTTTGCAAGAAAAATCCTCACCTCAAAAAAAATGCAAGTCAAACCACTCACCTCAAAAGTCAACCGCAATATAGCCCATGTCTATATTGATGACGTGGCATTGTCAGAAATCTTTTTAATTTGTGCAAAAAAACCTCAAACTAATTTGTTTTGCAAAAAAAGCCCTTATATCAAAATGCTGCGTTGCATTTTGAAATTGAGAAAATCGTGTTGTTTTCAATTTGCACAAGATCATTATTTACTGTTTTCAATATTTTAATTTTAAACCATTCGTTTTTTTTTGTTTCATTGTCGGTTCGGGTTCGGTTCGGTTTCGCTTTAGTTCGGATCGGTTTTGGCTGCCGAAATATCGGATAAAAAATATTTAAAAAAAAATAAAATAAATTGAATTTAAATAAATATTATTAAAATGTTTCGGATATTTAAAATATTTTGATAAATTTATTATAAATATAACTAATACTCACTATGTCCCATATTTGTAACAGTCTTTGAACGGCAATCTGAGTTTCTGTGACTAAATATATAGACGTTTACTTACCTTAATAACAATCAGATCCCCTGTAACACACAGGTTAATTTCAAAACTTCGAACAACAGTGTTTTGTATTCCATCCTTCGGATATCCGGGTTTGACTCCCGGCAGCGGAAAATTTTACGGGTTTTTTTTTTTTCCACAAAGCAATACTGTGTGGGTTTTATTATTATGAAATATAGCTTCTGATGGTGACGCAGATCAAAATATACAAATCAAACAGTAAATACAGATCATACAGAACAAATACAGATCATGATCTGCATACAGAACAAATGCGTATCAAACATATATATCAGATGAAACAAATCTAACGAATTATCATATTTAATTGAATTATAAAACAACGAAAAAGAATGTAAATATATAATTTGAAAACTTTAAAACAACAATACAATTATATATGCAAGAAATATAATTACTACAATAAATATATAAAAAATTGTTATTTAAAGATTATAAATATTCATTTATTTTTATTTTCCCTAATAAATTAAATATTATTCCTTTAGTGCTAGCTAGAGCTAGGACTTTAAAAACCGATTCAAAATTGATAAAAACAATTAACGAAACTGAACAAAACCAAACCCAGAATTAGTTCTTATATTTTAAACCAAAAAACGAACTGAAAACTTAAAATAAATATCCAGAATATAATTACATAACCTGAAAATTATTTATATATAGTTTGGAAAATTAAAAAAGATACCACAAAATATTAAAAATAGTTAGTTATTTATGTCAAAATCAAATATATTTCACTGAAATTAAATAAGTTTTGCGTAATTTAAATACCCAAACCTGACTCAAATCCGGAAAAACCCGAACCGAACCTAGCTCAAAAAATAAAAATATCCAAACGGAATTTATAGTTATAAACTTGAAAACCCAAAACTCGATGTAACAAATGAAGCAAATCTAACGAATAAATGAATCGTAAATTAATATAAATCAAATAATTTTTAAAAAATACAATTATAGATGCAATCAATATATTTATTATAATAAATAGGTTTGGAATAATTATTGTTTCAAATGTAACTTCCATTAAAACATACTGCAACAATTATAACAGAGTATAATTATTTGTCTATAATATAAACTCATGTAATTTTCTTTTTTTCAGATCCCATATCAGATATTATCATATAAACAAATATAATAAGTTAAACAGTTATAGAATATCATATTTGATTAAACGATAAGAAAAAAAATGAAAAGTTTCAAATCATATATGTAAAAAAAATTCTTAAAAACAAGTAATTAAAAAAATTAGACATTATCTAAAATTTAAATTCCATTACAACATACAAAAATTATTTCCAAAAACCTAACGTGAATTGTTTTTGTCTGCCCATAGTGTACTCGCAATATGTTCTCTAATGTTAGCCATAAAATCTCCTTCTCCTATTTCCGCTTCTGCTACATCACTTGGCTCTATCATAGAACTTGTGTTACCAGTTTCTGTGTCTCTTCTTCATCAGCAAAATCTTCATCTGAAAAATTAGATATTCTAATAAAATTATGTAGTCCCATTGTCGCCATTACCACTCTTTTTTGAACTTTCTTATCATACCTAGGAAATTCACAAAGAATCCTCCATTTCTTCTTCCATACTCCAAAAGTCCTTTCAATAACAGAACGTAAAGATGCATGATATCGATTAAACAACTCTTGCTTGTTTCTAGGAGGAGGACCACTTTCAAACTGTGACATATGATAGCGAACAACCACGTTCCGTGAAGATCTAAACGGAGCCAAAAAACCTTGTTTGTTTGGATAGCCAGAATCGACTAAATAATACTTGTCTGGTGGAGGTAAAGGAAAATCGGAATCTTTCTTGCGCCATTGTCAAAACTGATGTATCATGACATGATCCCGGTGCTCCATTCCAAACGTATGTGAATAACATATTGAGATCACATATCGCCATTATATTAAATGAAGTTATATTGTGCCGGTTCCAGTACATTCCTTGAACTTCAGGCTTCACTTTAACGCAAACATGAACTCCGTCCATGGCGCCAACAAATCCACTAAAATATGGCCAATATCTTTGATCCATTACTAGTCGTTCAGGAATTTGTCGTAGTTCTTGGGTTGTTGGAGTCCTTATATAATCACAAGCAAGTAACTCAGTCGCTTTAAGCACTTCAAAAAAATTTTCTATTCACGGTCTCTTGCGTCCGTCCAAATCGTAATCCAACATCTCTTTGAACTTCGTTATGCCCACATATCCGTAGAAACATGGCCACACTCTCTTCAATACCTATATTCATTGTTGGTTGTAAACCATAACTGTTTGCAGTTTATCGCATAATGTTCTGAAAGCACCTATTGACATCCGTAATAACTGAAGACAAGCGGCATCATCTTCTTGTAGCCGACGCCAAATATTTCTCCATCCCAAACCGCCACCTGTCTGGACCGGTCCTCTTTCAAAATATTGGTTGTAGTAACTTAATGATGGTTGAATTATTAATTCTTCAAATTGCTCATTTTCCAAATTCCACAACTCAATTCTCTCCTCGTAACTTAGATTGTGCAGACCATATGATCGTAATTGACATATACGAAAAGCCTGAAAATTGTAAACATGAAAAAACGTAAATCAAATTGATAAAAATTCAATCATTAAAAATAAATAACAGTTATATATTATAAAACATACCAAAAAGCATAATAAATAATTAATATTGCAACAAGACAAATCATAAATAAAATTGATAAGAAAATGCAATGTTCGAAAGCAAGAATACATATTAAATATTTTTAAAACATAACATAAATGCGAATAACAAAACACAAGTGGTACTAAACTAATCTTCAGATCCTGAACGACTTTGATGACTTTCATTTAAATTTGGTCCTTGTTTATTTCCCCAAATATTGAATAATCCTCCTACTCTCCGCGGTCTTGATCTTGGTATTTGTGCTTCTGAAGAATAATTTGTGAAACCGAATTCAGGTGATACTCCCCTCTGAACATTTTCTGAAGTACGAACCTCTGATTCACGTGAAACTTCTACTTGACCAATCGTTGTAGTTTCTACTTCGGTTCCTAGTGAAAATCCACGCTGAACATTTGTCGGAGGAATCCATTGATTTGCATTTGGTGATGAAACCCATTCTCGGTTATTTGGTGATGAACCCCACTGTTGAGCACTTGATGATGGAACCCATTGGTTGGCATTTGATGATGAACCCCACTGTTGAGTATTTCTCGCCGTACCCCATTGGTGAACATTTGCTGATGAACCCCATTGTTGAACATTTGGTGGAGTGCTCCATTGTGGGGCATTTGGTGGAGTATTCCGTTGCTGAGCGTTTGGAGGAGTACCCCATTGTGGAACACTTGATGATGGACCCCAGTGCTGAGCATTTGGAGGAGTACCCCATTGTGGAATACTTGATGATGAACCCCATTGCTGAGCATTGGAGGAGTGCCCCATTGCTGAAGGAGTGCCCCATTGTTGAGAACCATGACTCCATTGTCCATTTAGAGTTTGACCCCATGAGTTATTAGTACCAGAAGATGGACTACCAGAAGCAAAACCACCAAAATTTGGGCTGCTGCAATTTTGATTTGAATTTAGCCGTTTTCCAACATATTCGCCGTCTGGTGTATATCCTGTCAAAGCTTGCAAAAACTGTAGCTTATCTTCGTCAGAATCATCGGCTCTATCGATGAAATACTTACGCCAAAATCTTTCATCCTTAAATGCTTGAATGCATGCCCAATAAAATCCAGTATTCTTTTGAACTTCATTGATTCAAATATCTTGATAGCCATCTCGCATTCATCATAATCTTCTTGATCAAAAGAATTTGGGCGCATTTGTTGTAAGCTTTGGCGTTGAAACTCTCTAAAACCAGCCATTGTATCTGTTAGAGTTGCCTGAAATGATTGTTTTGCGACCTCCTCGTGAACCATTCCTTGATGAGACTTGTGAGCTTCCTGCAACTCTGTTGTAGACTTTCACGTCTGATTCTTCCTTGTTGTGAAACTCTGGAGCCTGATTCTGGAACATATTAATCGGTGGAGTTGGCAGTAAACTCATTTGAATGATGTGTTGATCATCAATGTCAACACGATACCCCTCTTCATTTTCTTGTGTCTTTGGAACTTGTGTGTCTTGGATATCCTCACCATATATTTCCGAATTCAAATAACCTTCATCATCAGCAAACCCTCGTTCATCATCTCTTCTCTTCTTTGACTCACAGAGTATTGAGTTTGTGAGTGGACATCATACAATCTAAAACAGCTGCATAATATCCCAAAACTCTGGAGGGTTTCTGTGAAATGCTTTTATAACTTTACATACCTGTCAATAAAATTATGTTTTCTTAGTTAATATTTTTTGTTTGTAAAGTTATTTAATAAATTTTGAGTAAAAGAGATTAAAAGTACTTACTTCACGATCTTTCCACCATGAGTCTGATGCATATCACGATGTAACAGGATCAACCGAGATTCCCGTAGAATTTTGTATAAGACCCAAATACTTCTTGTACTTTCTTTTCATATGATCAAGTTTTTTTCTGAAAAACTTGTAGTCTATATTAAGACTGAACTCCTTGTTGAACTTTTCAACTATAAACTCTTTACCAATGGTGTAGGATCTTTTAAACGGTAATTGCTCATAGCAAGAGCTTCGTCATACAAGCTCGATAAATTTTCTTTCTCGTCTATGAGTCCAAATGGATTCTCGTCATCTAAATTTTTATAAACTCATATCTAAATTACTGCTAAAACTCCAACTAAACTAGAAAATTTGAATGTATAATAGTAAGAATCTTACTCGTAATGATGCTTCGGAATGAGGAATAGTATCTGATTGCATGGAATAATTTCTGTTTTGTCTACGATTTGACGCCATATCTAGAAAAATTGAAAATGATATTGATTTATTGAAAGAATAAACAATTTTTTAATAAGATACTGATTTTTCAAATAACATATATAAGATATAGTAATATAGTCTTTTTAATAAGATATCATTAATGCAGTTATGTAAATTACGTTTTCAAATTATTTGAGGACTATTAACTTTTAAAAGGTCTTGGCTTTCATTTTTATGAAGAAGAAATAAATGCTTATAATCTGATTTTTGAAAATACTTTTTTTACCCAATCTTAAACAAAAGAAAACTGAAATGTATTTACATAACAATTCAGTATTTTATTATTTTAATGAGTTACTACTGTTTAATACATATTTCAAACTATATATGCTTTAAAGATATTAAGCATAAATTACAAATTTGAATATGGCATTTTTTTAACTTATTGGTTAACAAACTGATAATGTGATGAACTCAAAATTATGATAACTTTATTTTCTAAAATTTTGGAAGAGTAAATTAATATATATATGATTCAATGTTTAGGTAAATAGTACATGTAAAATCTGTTTCCTGTTTTATTATTTTAAAACGTAAATTATTAAGATATTATTATATCATTTTCATAAAATATTTAAAACTGAAATTGAATTAAATCCAATAAAAGGGTTAAAATGCTAAAAAGTAAATACTATCACCACATAAATGCATATATTTTAATATAGTAAAGATTTCAGTTTTTTAAACATGACTAATTACATAAAAAGTGAAAATCACAATGCATGTATTTGTTTAAATGAAATGAATATCAAATAGATACAATAATAACTATAGAAATCTACAAATATTTACTGTTAAAAATACAGATTATAAAATAAAATACATTAGCTTAATTTATTATAAAAAATATATGTTTGTCAATTAATGTAAATAATATTTAATTTTGATGAAAATATATATTTAATAATGAAAAAAATCAATATGTATAACTATTATTGTTGCAGAAAAAAATATTATTGTAAATATGTAAAATAAGTTTATATAAGTTCCTTTTGGATATAAAATTTAATAACTATATAAGTCACTAAACATAGTTTATAAAAATGTCCACAACTATTTCAGTATAACAAAAATAAAAAGAAAACATAACTTTAATTTGAGAGTGCTTCTGATGGAAAAAACAACCTACAAATAATAAAAATGAAAATTTCTAATTATATACAAAATTAAAACCATGTAGGTGTATGAAATGAATATCAAATAGATATAATAATAACTATATCAATTTATAAATATTTACATTGAAAATATAGATTCTAAAATAAAATACATTAGCTACTTATATTATAACATATATTTTTCAATTAATGTAAATAATATTTAATTTTATGAAGGTATATATTTTAAAAATGATAAAAAAATCAATATGCATAACTATGATTGTTGAAAAAAAATTATGAATATGTTAGATAAGTATATATTGTAAATTTCTTTTGATATGAAGGTTATTGTGTTTAATAATATTCATAAAAGAGATTCAAAATACAATATTCGTATTATATCTCTTACTAAATTATAAATTTGTAACAAAAAAAGGAAGAGAATAAAAGAAGAATATCTTACCTTAGAATTTGAGAGGGTATAAATTTCTCTTGTATAAAAGTGAACTAGGGTTTCGGAATTCAACCCCCTTGGACCCTATCCGATCTTACTCTCCGTCTTATGGCTGGCAGAGTATCGTCTCAGCTCGACCTCTGGTATACAAAGGACTTATTAAAAGAGTTGGTTCAGGTTCATCTATCTCTGTATGGTATCATCCCTGGATTTCTGACTCTCACCCGAGGCCAGCTATCTGCAAAGGAGTTAATTACTATCCCCATCTGACGGTGAATCAGTTAATTAATTCCCAGACATCAACGTGGAATCGTCCACTATTGCAACAATTGTTCGAGAGTGAGGAAATCACTCGCATCACGGGTATCCCTGTGGCCACTGGCTATAAACCGGATCACTGGGGATGGTTTTATACAACAACGGGTCGGTATACGGTCAAATCGGGATATAGTGTTTTACAGGAGCTCTCAGATGAGGGGACACTGCCAGTATTCGGACCGGACATCCGGCGTTTGCAAGCGCAATCCTGGAAGGTCAAATGTACTACAAAACTCCAACATTTCCTTTGGCAAATCATTACCGGGTGTTTATCGGTTGGCGCGCGATTATGCAGTCGGGGAATGCGGGTGGACCCGCAGTGCGTGAGATGTGGAATGGGAGAGGAGACTATCAACCATATGCTCTTTGAGTGTCCTCCGGCGCGCCAGGCATGGGCACTCTCCCCCATACCTACACCTCCTCAGCATTTTCCTACGGACGCACTTTTTTCAAATATGGCACACCTATTTTGGAACCTCCCAGATGATGATGATATGTCGATGTACCCATGGTTGCTATGGTTCATTTGGAAAGCTCGGAATTACAAAGTTTTCTCAAATGATGATCATAATCCACATGATGTAATGGAATCCGCAATAACGGAAGCAAGGGCATGGGCAGTGGCCCAAACGGTGATAGACAGTATGCGTAGTAATATTTCCTTACACTCCGGACCAGTCCCACCGGGGGAACGGTGTCAGATTGATGGAGCATGGAAAGTGACGGAAAGTCGGGCATGACTTGGATGGTACAATGTTGATTAGGTATCAGGGTCAATTTTGATTGGGTCCAGCAACCTACGGCGGGGCTTATCCCCTCTCCAGACAGAATTGGAGGCACTGATTTGGGCTATGCATAGCATGCTAGTTCATGACAAACGACGGTAAATTTCCAAACAGACTCTGCTCAGTTGGTGAAGATGGTGTCCAAACCGGCAGAGTGGCCAGCTTTTGCGATCTTACTTGAAGAAGTGGAGAAATACAAAGGGATGTTCCAGGAGTTCTCGCTCACACACATCCCTAGGACGAAGAACACGAAGGCAGACAAGCTAGCACGGAGTGCTCGAGCTCAGCCTCAAGATGTGTACTACATAAACTCAATTCCACCGGCCTCGCTTCCCGGACCGGCTTAGAATTTAGGCTGTTGACAAAAAAAAAAAAAAAAAAGTGAACTAGGGTTTGACCCGCGCCCTGCACGGGATGATATTTTATTCCAATATTTTTTTTAACTTAAAGATATAATTTTATAACTCTGAAATCTTATGTGATATATTGATTGGATGGTTTGATTATAGTCTTGTGGAAATGAAACATCTTAAATATTTTTTTGTAAAAGATAAAAAAATAAATAAAGCCTTGATTATACATGATAAAACTGAGTGAGAATCATTAAAAACCAAATGACTACAATATAATATACCAGTTAAAATAACAAATCAAATGAGTACATATAAATTATTACTGTTTTTAAAATTAGTAAGATTGTATGTATTGTTTTTAATCCTTAGGATTACATATGGTAAGATATTTTTTGCTTTTCTGGAAACAAAAGAGATTATATGCAAATTAACTTCAAATTTGGCAATTATTAAATAAAATCATTGCTTAAAAATGATAATTTATACTTACAAAAAAAAGATAATTTATAGCTGATTAACTTTAAGTAGGCCTGATTTGTAGGCCAATTTATTATTTATATGGAAACATAATATATATCTACTCATAATTAAACAACTTCCATATAAGACTTCAAATTAATGACGACATCATCATATAATTGGAAAATCTTGAATAAAAATCCAAATATTATTTATCTTGTACAGTAAAATGAGTTTATAATTTTGTGTGAATTTATCTATTGGAAAAAGATGTTTACAATTAAAATTGTTATACATTCATTTATATATATATATATGTATATGCTCAAAATTCCAGTATATTAAAAAAATTAATTGTATCACTAATTTCGAATTATAGTAAATGATTTTTAAATAATTTATGTTTTTAAGTGGAATAATATATTTTTTAAAACTAATTGGTTATATATTTATATAAAAATAATATCATATATTGAAAAACAAAACTATAATTTATTTTGAAATATTAATATCATTTTCGATTTTTAATATATTTTATGATAATTGTTTAATTTATATATTATTTATGTTGTCTAATGGAAGATATATGCAAATATTCAAGATTTGTAACCATATAAAATGTTGTGTATCAATGGCATTGTATGTAAATCCCTTATATATTAAAAGAGAAGACATTTACAAAATTTCCCTTTGTTTTCAATTTAATTTCAAGTATGTCATGCTGAGGTGTTGCAATTTGTCACACTCTTAGAATATTCTAAAAATAACCTCTCTTTATTAGGCAAGTGCTGAAATATTTATTATTAACTGAATCAGAAAAATAATTATTAATTAAATTTTTTTTTCTATTTTCTTATCTGGTAGTGACGAAAATTATAAATAAATTTAAAAGTATTTATTAGTCAATCAATCAGTAAAATATGGAAAGTTTTATTCAATTATATTATATTAATTATTTAAAAATTAATTTATTATCTTATCATTTTTTAACTTTAATTTTTCAAAAATAAATTATATCATTACATCAAAATATTTCATAAAACAAAATTAGTTTTTTTTCTGTATATGCTATGATTTGAAAATTTTAAAATGAAGCAAATCTCTAAAATTGTAAAACTCCCATATCAATTATATTTTGGAATGATAACTCAAAAACCTATTATAAAAAAAGATTCAAATAATGATCAACTATAGTAAAAGAACTGATTTATTCGAGGCATGGAGAGCAGCTAATAGGATTGTCGGTCTACATAATGACGACAACGTATGGGTAGCTGGAGAAAAAGAGGTGGAAAAGGTAGCAGTCGGTTATTTTGACAAACTGTTCACGTCAACTTTACCGACGGATTTCACGGGAGTACTCGCGCATATGCCACACCGGATTACTGCGCAGGAAAATGAACTTTTAACTCGTCGTGCGACAGAGACGGAGGTACATGAAGCGCTATTCATGATGCATCCAGAGAAAGCACCAGGACCGGATGGCATGACTGCTATTTTTTCAACGTTCATGGCATATAGTTAAAAATGATATTCTCAAGATGGTTAATAATTTTCTCACATCGGGTACTTTTGATGAAAGATTGAATATGACCCACATTTGTCTGATCCCAAAAACGGGACGACCGAATAGGATGACAGAGTTACGACCGATCAGCCTATGTAATGTGGGTTATAAGATCATTTCCAAAGTCCTCTGTCAGAGACTCAAAGGGATCTTACCTAGGTTGATTTCGGAAACTCAGTCTGCTTTTGTACCGGGCCGGCTAATTTCTGATAACATACTGATAGCTCAGGAGATGTTCCATGGACTCCGGACGAATAAATCATGTAAAGGAAAATTTATGGCAGTAAAAACAGATATGAGCAAGGCTTATGATCGGGTTGAATGAAGCTTTCTAGAAGCGTTAATGAGGAAAATGGGCTTTGCGGAACAATGGATCTCATTGATGATGCGATGTATTACATCAGTTAAGTACATAGTGTTACTCAATGGTCAACCAAAAGGGAAAATAACTCCCCGCCGAGGTTTACGACAAGGGGATCCATTATCCCCGTATCTCTTTATTCTGTGTACGGAAGTTCTGATAGGAAATCTGAGATGGGCAGAAGAACATAAAAGTATTACAGGCCTTAAGGTGGCTAGGGCAAGTCCAGCAGTGTCTCATCTCTTTTTTGCGGATGACAGCCTGTTTTTTTGTAGAGCGAATGTTGACGAAAGTCGGGTGTTACTCCAAATCTTGAAAGAGTATGAGATCACCTCTGGGCAGCAAATTAATTTTGGAAAATCATCAGTACAATTTGGTCATACGGTGGAGGCAGCGTGCGGGCGGAGATACATCAAGTTTTGGGAATTAGCAATGTGGGGGGTGTCGGGAACTATCTTGGGATTCCAGAAAGCATTGGGGGCGCAAAGACAAAGATTTTTAGTTTTTTGGTAGATCGACAACACCAACGAATGAACGGTTGGAACTCAAAGTGGTTGTCAAAAGGGGGAAAAGAAGTTCTTATTAAGTCAGTGGCTTCAGCGATGCCTATGCACGTAATGTCATGCTTTCGTCTGCCCAAAGGGATTACGAATAAGATGACTAGTGCAGTCTCCAATTTCTGGTGGAGTAATAATGGCCAAACTCGTGGTATGCATTGGATGGCTTGGAAAAAGTTATGTCGGCACAAGAATGATGGTGGATTAGGATTTCGGGTTATTGAGGACTTTAACACGGCTTTACTTGCCAAACAACTATGGCGGCTAATAGACTACCCCGAATCGTTATTTGCACGAGTTTTCAAAGGACGGTATTACCGGAACTCTACTCCTTTAGACCCTATTAGATCATACTCTCCTTCTTACGGATGGCAGAGTATAGTATCGGCTCGACCTCTGGTACAAAAAGGACTTATTAAAAGGGTTGGTTCAGGAACATCTATCTCAGTTTGGGATGATCCATGGATTCCAGCTTCTAGCCCGAGGCCAGCCACATGAGATGGGATTAATTTTTACCCTCATCTTCGGGTGAGTGAACTAATAAATCCCATCACAGCAACGTGGAATTTTCCACTATTGAATCAATTGTTTGACAGTACGGATGTCTCCATGATCATCGGGATTCCCACATCACATGTTTCCCGACCAGATTCCATGGGATGGTTTTTTACGAAGACAGGTCGGTATACGGTTAAATCGGGATACGCGCTAGCACAAAAAATGCTGGCGAATGATAGCCCCAATTTCTTTGGACCCGATACACGGAGGCTCCAATCACATGTGTGGAAAGTACGATGCACTCAGAAATTACAACATTTTATTTGGCAAGCTCTGACGGGCTGTATAGCAGTCGGAGCACGACTACGGAGTCGTGGCATGCAGATAGATCCACAATGTATGCGTTGTGGAATGGCCCCAGAAACAGTGAATCACACTTTGTTTGAGTGTCCACCGGCATTACAGGTTTGGGCATTATCTCCAATCCCAACGGTTCCCAATCAATTTCCGACAGAGGGGCTGTTTACAAATATGGCACACCTGTTCTGGCACTTACCAAAAGATGAAAGGATGGGGATGTACCCTTGGTTAATTTGGTACATTTGGAAAGCTCGAAATGATAAGGTTATGGAAAATGTGGACTGGGACCCAAATGAGATAATTGTTAAAGCGGCAGCGGAGAGTTTGGCATGGGCAGCGGCCCAGGAACGACGAGCGACGGCGCATTCCCACACAGAAACCCTAGTGCAAACACCGATATCAGGTGACATTTGTCAGGTGGACGGGGCTTGGAAAGACACAGAGTGTAGAGCTGGTTTAGGATGGTACTTTTTCAACACGGATTCTCCTGATAAACTTATGGGAACATGTAATTTGAGGCGGGGAATATCCCCACTTCAGTCAGAGCTGGAGGCTCTCATTTGGGCCATGCAATGCATGATACGGCATAACAAATTGGTAATGGTGTTTCAGACGGACTGTTCCGATGTGGTGAAGATGGTGTCTAAACCAGAGGAGTGGCCGGCGTTCTCAACACTACTTGACGAGGTTGACAGATGTAAGAGGAGATTCACCTCCTTCAACATCATGCATATTCCAAGGACGAACAACACGAAGGCAGACAAGTTAGCACGAAGTGCTCGAGATCTACCTACAGATGTGTATTATGTAAACTCTATTTCACCAGTTTGGATTCCCGAGCTGTTGTAGAAATAAAGGCTGTTGACAAAAAAAAAAAAAAAAAAAAAAAAACTGATTTATTAGGTTTCCAAACTTTTTTTTTTAATTTGATTTAATTTTGTTCTTTAATTGAACTAAATAAATAAATCATAATAAAATCTAATAACTTAATATATAAGTTAAACTATTTTAGTTATTTAAAATTGATCAAAAATATTAAATATATATGCCATATAAAACTATTTCAAACTTATTAAAAGATATATATGTGAATTCAACTGTGTTACTTAATATTTCGTCATGTTCCAATCCAGGCTAAAAAAATATAAATCACTCAAAAATATACATATTTTTTTATTGTCTAACACCCTATTTTTCTAGAATGATACTTATGTAAAAAAATATCTAAAAATAAAACTACATCAAGAAAATATCACCCCGTGCAAGGCGCGGGTCCAACCCTAGTACTCTAGTAAGTGATGTCTTTTTTTATATTTGTCTTGAAAGTGATTCTGGTGTTGACACATCAGCATGGCAATTCAGTTAATAACACATGAACATAAGGTTATTCTTTTAGTGTTTTCTCTTTTAATATATTAGGGATAGGAGTGAATGAGAAAAAGTGAATAGGAGTGAATGAGAAGAAAGTAATATGTGGGGGGTTTATAAAGAAAACCATGAAGACTAAAAAGAAAAAAAATTCGTTGATATAAAAAAAAAAAAGACAAAAAGAAAAATAATTTCTGAAAAGTTAATATTCATTGGTCCCCGGTAGGCCCCCAGCTCCGAAAAGGCTCCCTTACTGTAGGCTTTTATTTTTTAAATGACTTACTCTACATGCAGAATAAAGTAAATATCTTTTGCAAAAACTCAGATCTACTTTTTTTGCATGATTGGTGAGTCAATGCAGACTGATCTGATTTTTTTTTTTAATCTGCTTTTGATCTGTATTATTTCGGTGTCTCCATTCATAGCCTATATACTTTTAAAGAGTTTGACTTCATCCCAATATTTGTTCCCGCTACAAGAAAGAGTCCATGTAACTGTAGCTAATAGAACACCACTCAGCCCGATTCTTTCAAAGGTAACTTAAAGGATTACATGCAAAGTTCCATTTCAGTTTACATTTAGAAAAAGTTTATTGTTTTTTCTAATTCAATAGCAATAATTTCACCTGTAGCATTCATTATAATTTCAAAAATGGTCGAACTTCTATGATATTTCACATTTAAGCGTTTGATATTGATCTATTTAGAGCCTGACTGGTTTAAACACGGTGGTTGCGTTTGCGGTTGCCGGAGTTTGCTGAAGCGGACGGTTGCAGTTAAGAGCATTATTAAGAGGTTTGTACGACTGGTATAACGGTTGAAAACGGATGTGTTTGCGAGATACTTATGACTGATTGACTTGCGGATGCAATAGCGGTTAAACAATAAATTAACAATATAAACACTTTTTTTTTTAATTGAATGTAAAATTAATTCTAACTCAAAAAAGTCTGTTTGTACATCAAGTTCTTCATTTGTTTGAAAAGATTGAGAGAAGAGCCATTGAGATTAAAATTAAAAAACATCTAGCTTCGAGCTTCGAACCATAGCTGATCTGATGTACTTGCATTTTACATGGTTTTAGCCCTTCTTTTATGCATCTTTTGCATAGTTTCATTCACCCAAAGCATCATTTCTTGATGTTTTCCCTTCTTTTGCATACATAGTAGTTTTAGGCTTGCATTTGCATACATGTGCACGTTTGATGTCTTAATCAGGTCATTTGGAGCTAATTGGAACATTGCCTATCACTGGAGACTAGTTGAGGAAGGAAAGACTCTGTCTGCCCCATGTACGGACCCGCACTCGGTCGAGCTAGTGAGATGCGTCCGAAGTATCGTATCAAATGAAGGGTTTCCACTCCGATTCAGCCTCTGACTTCTTCTTGGAAGTTGTGGATAATTGAGTTAGCTTTCGTCTGGAGGTGGTTTCATGTCATTCGGACCAGCGGTTCAGAAGATACGACGATATTGGTTGGACTCGACCCACCAGCTCGACCGGCCAGTTTCCAACTCGATCGAGCTGCTTTTCCAGGAGTCAAAGTCAAACCCGAAAAATGTTGCTTCCCTTTGACTCCCCTTTGACCCTAAACCTAGTTTGCTTTACTATAAATGGCATTGAGCCACGAATTAAACACAGCTTTTGCTCAACTTTTAATTAATCTTGTATTTGCATTTCCCTTTTTACTTTTTAGCCTCTCTTTGTGTTCTTGAGCTCTTGCTCATAGAACCCTAGATCTAGGCTTGTTATTGTGTTTTTGCACTTGCTTATTTCAATAAAAGTTGTTTATCTTTATCTCCTCTATCTTTTGATGTCTTATTTCATTGCATTTGGTTGTTTATTTCATCATGTGTAGTGAGTAGTTCCCTTTAGGGCTTAAGATGGGATAGGTTAGAGGTTGTTTATGCTTAATCCTTCTTGCTTATGTTCTTAATCTAGAAATCTCTCTCTTTTGGACAAACCTTAAGGCTACATGACCACTACCCCTGGCTTGTATGTCCATAGGCGATTCTCCACATGGAAGTGATGGAAATCGTTGGAAAAGGTCCACTAAGAGCTCCAATAACTCTTGCTCTCGAAATGGAGTTCATAGGGGTTGGATGGATTAGTTTGAGCAATGATCCTATGGCCTCCAAGGCTTGATTCTCACTGGCTAACCCCCTGTTTCTGAGATCAAGTCTTGGTTGATAGCTTTCACCTTGGGAAAGGGTTAGCTAGGCATTGAGAAGCTCAATATCAAGAGATACCTTGATACAAGTTGTTTAAGAGCAAGACTGATTAAGTATAGCCTCCCTTTAGCTGCAAAACCCTGTCTTTAACCCTAATCTTCGCATTAGCATCTTAAAGTTTGCACCTTTATCGCTTTTCATTGCATTTCCTCTGTTTTTACACCAACTCGACCCTCAACTCGATCGAGCTCACCAACTCGACCCTCAACTCGATCGAGCTCATCAACTCGATCGAGCTCTTGGTCGAGCTCATCAACTCGATCGAGCTCTTGGTCGAGCTCCCTTGCATCTGCTTGTTCTTGTTAATTTCTTGCATTTAGCTGCTTTCTTTTACTTTCTGCATTGCATTTCCGTTATATTAGGTTGTTTAGTTGTTACATCCATCTTCATTTATCATTTGGCTTGAATTGCATAGTTCCTGCATAGTTCTATAGAGTAATCAGCTTCCCATTTGGATTGACACCTCAAATGCTACAATGACATGAGTAGCTGGATTTGAGTAATTGGTAGTAAAATCCTGTTATCAGTATCTTCGTAGTTTGTATCTCCCAGTTGGCGGATTGAGGATACTCGATTAGGAATTTGCTTGTCTATGAGCTTGATGAGATTTGCCGGAGAAATAGGTACTGCACCATCACGACGAGAATTTCTTTCTCTCCAAATGCTATGTGCGGTAGCTTGGAAAACGTACCGAGTAAGTAAAAGAAGAGGACAATATATATATATATATATTATATTTATATAACAATATAAACACATTATATAACTATAAAACATCAAAATTATATTATACTGAACAATTATAAAATTAATGTTCAATAATTCTACAGGTTTGAGCCCCATACTTCCGTCTCTTTCACTTTCACCCAAAAACTCCCAATAATGCCCGCTAAAACCCATATCTCAAGATAATCCACTCCTTCCTTTGACCTCGAACTGAAAACTCCAAGCTTCCCTTCGTGTCTTGTCAACTTTAGAGATTTATCGCTTGCTAGGTTCTCAGAAACGACCAAGTGTTGGTTTTCAGACAAAACCGTAACATATT